AGTTGCTGAGGAAGTCCCCAGTAAGGGACGAAACGTTCAACAAGATCAAATAAATTTGTTCATCAAAATTTATTAACTGTCTTCAATTTTCCCTTTGAAACTCATATATATTAATRTAYTGTTGGGACAAGAATATTGATTATTAATTAGTAATAACATTTGTTTATTTTGTAGAAAGCAACATCTTGTATTCGCAATGGAAAGAAGGCATTAATAGAAGTTTAGGATGGAAGACAATTACTAATACAGATGATAACAAAATAATGAAAAGTATTACATTATATATTTCTATTGTATTATAGCTAACAAATATATACATATATATATGCAAATATCAATATATTTACAGATGATTTTAAAGACTTACATAAAGCGACAGCACCTGGTGTATTTATAATGGGTACAATAATTTTACTTGTTTTTGCAAAATATCGATCATTCATGTAATAGAGGCTTGTAAATTATTAGTATTGAACACTGATGCATTTGTGTGAATTTCCAAGAAAAATATAAATATTAAAATGCATTTAATGTAAGTAATGTATTCTGTTATCAATAATGTTATATTTAATCTGTTCAATATGGCATTAGTCTGCCCGTGTAGTGTTATTGATGACCAAAAACAACTATGATGTAGTATACTTTCATATAACGTTTGTTATTTAATAAAGCATTACAAAAATGTCTGCATCTTGGTTTCGAATAAATCAGAGAAAAAAGCTTATTTTTTTATTTAAAATTCAAATAGAAGATATGCATTTTATATTGAAATATTTAATAAATGTAGAAAATAAACTAGGCATAATTAAGTAAGTATATTCTTGATTAGGACCGCTTAGAAAATTCCTTACAAGTAATTTTTTTAAACAAATAATTAAGAGTATATGCACACGTTGTATGATAAAAAATGATAGTCATATTTCCATTAATTTTAGTACATGAAAATAATTTTATTATTCAATTTATTAATAAGAATTTTGATTTTATCTATTATTATTAATATCATTCATTATAGCAGTTTGTAATTGAACATTAACATCATATTTAAATGTATCCGTGTTATCATTATTCTTGGGATCTTTTGTATCTTGTATTTTAAGTACATCTTTATCGTTCATAGTTTTCATGTATTGTACATGATTTTCTTCAGATTTAATTGGTTTAATTGCCAGTGACATAGAAGAATCGTTCTTTTTAAATATATTTGAATTAATTATTATATATTATTTATCTATTAAATAAATCTTTTCTCTAAAGATAAAAGTATTACCGCTATTTCATTTACAGTAGATGTTTGCATAGCTACACTCGACATAGTTAACCATGCGTCTTTTTTAATATTACTGATAAGTAAACGTTGACGTTGTGCTACAAGTATACGACTGATGAGGGATTGACAAGTGTGAGATACATTTGGTTCTTTAGGAAAGGTAATCTTGTTTTGCACTTGCTAATTTCAGATAAAAATTTATGAAATTGTACAAAATTAAAAGTAACATATATCTACCCCAGAGATAGATAATTAATAATATTTAATAATTGTTAATATAATGGGGTACCTTTAAAAGGAGAGTATATTTTGTATCATCAAAAGGAAGTCGTCCATAAACCATAGCAAAAAGTACTACACCCATAGACCATATATCTGATAATTGTGGTTGGTATGGAATACCTTTCAATATTTCTGGAGAAGCATAAGCATAACTACCACAAAAGGTTTCGCTAAGAGGCGTTGTACCATTTTTTGGTTTCATATGACCACGTGCAAAACCAAAATCAGATAATTTAATATTCAAATTAATATCCATTAGCAAATTTTCACATTTTATATCCCTAAAGGAATTACTTGTTATGTTCTTAGAAATGTATAGAACTTTGAACATATTTAAAATTAAATATCTACCTATGAACTACACCTCTTTCATGACAATAATCAACAGCATCAAGAAGTTGACGAAACCATTTACGACTACGACTTTCATCGATATAAGTATCGCGTCTTATGATGTCAAGTAAACTACCATTTTCTGCATATTCCATTATTATATACACCCTTTTTGTTAATAAAACATTGTTTACAAGAACTAGTTTATTACTTAATATGAATATTAATATATTTTAAAAAGCCTTTTACTAACCGATGCGTTGTTTCAATAGCTTGCAAAAAACGAATTAAATTAGGATGTTTCAATCCTTTAACAACCTCGATTTCACGTGGCAAGAATTTTTTTAAGTAATCACCTGGTGCCTGAAATTTTGAAATTATTTTTATAGCTACCCGACAATTGTGCCGTTCTGACTTTGCAACCTGTATACAAATTTATTATACATGTTATTTATTATATATTATTCCTTTGTGATATGTGAATATATTAAATGTGAAAATTATCTACTTTGACTGTCGCATAAGAGCCCACACCAATTACGTTTCCAATAGCATATCCATGAGACTCCAGTACTGTTAATTTTTTATTTGACATTTCTCCATATTTAACATCCAAATCTCTTACTTTGTTCGTCACTTCGGTCTTTACTGGTGGTACTGATGTCATTTTATTATTTATTATAAATTAAATTTTAAAATCATTATATATATATATATAGTGTTGTGTTTGTAATGACTGTAACGAATCATTCATAATGTCTTAAAGTATTAAATAATAAATTAGATGTGTAGCAACAAATAATATGTCATACCTCGTATATTTTTTAATATATTTAATTAAATTTGAATTTCATTTTTTTGTTGATAAGCTAATCATAATATTGATGTAAAACGATATTCAAAGTTAAAGACATTTTGCCACAATTTGCATGAAGTAATAGACATTTTTTTTCGTTTGATGGTTACTTCAAAATAAATAAATTAATTCGTCTCTTGTTAAATTAATTGTTTTGGAATAAAACTATTTAAAAGAAATCTAGAAACTATCCATAATTACAAATAAATTTCATTTTAAATTTTTCAAAGTCGATTTAAAGTATTTTCCAAATTTCATTACCAGATAGCAGTAGTGCATCGAATTATAAGAGTCTATTATTGGTAATGACCTCGCACTTTTCAATCGTGGAGTTGGATTATAACCAATCACCGATCTAATACTAAACTTACAATATTTTCCTTTTTTTAAATTTACCGCTAAATTTACTTAACCACACCTACTGTGTTGCAGCGCGAATTTATCATTAGTTGATTGGTGACATTTAAATTATCTACTCCAATCACGTGTAAGTATATACTTCTAAAATAGGTAGATGTTAAATTGAACCAATTATCTTTCAGAGATTTTGGAGCCGGTTTTTTTATTATTAAACATCACAGGACAAAGAATTTTATGATTGCATATGGCGTCTATATAATTGCCAAGGCAGTTTGATGTTTGACTATCGGTTTGTGATTAATAGATATAATTTCAATAAAAATGTCAAATTTAAATGAATATGATGATTACCGAGACTCAGACTTAATCGATGAAGCTACGTTTGATCAAATACAGCAGGAAGCAAGGTAAATAATTGTGTATAATCCATTGACTTAAATTACGTAGTAAAAAATTTCGCACAATATTTACTAATAATAATCATATATATAATCATATATATCATATACACATACATCATATATATATATGATTATTAATGTAAAACTATATATTTATATATAAACATTTAATATTATTTTTTTTAACAAAACACACACAGTTCCACAAATTAATTTATATTTCTTAAAGATCTTTTTCTTTTTGTCTTCCATTGTGGGTGGAATAGTTAGTCTTTTGTGTTAAATTTTTGTAATAAATATTACATAATTTACTATATGACTCAAACTCTTTTCTTACACGATAAATACATTCCTTAAATTATTGTCTAAAAGAAAACTGAGATAATATTTAATTTAGTTATCTTAAAATGAAATAAGGAACACTAAATTTAATTCAGAAAACATATATCGATTAAAAATTAAGCAATTTTTTTATCTGAATGGTTTATAAATTAGCGAATGCATATCGAATAACAAGGAAAGGTTAATATAAAAAATTAAACATTCTTAGATATTGCCAAATTGTGAATTCTCTCCAGTATGAACATTTATACGGCATTTATTTAATTTTGATGTTTTATCCATACCAAGACAATTTAATGCCTTTTCAATTTCGCTGCATTGAAATGGTACTATTATTCCGTTATATCTTCACTTATACTGACCTTTTGGATTAGTACTTATCTTAAACACAAATGAAATAATATCATCGTTGTTCATAATTTCAAAACGTGGATTATTTATTTCTATGCTCATCTAGTTTTTAATATAATGATATCCAATTTGTATTCTAAGTTTAATTTAAATATTTTTCTTTTAATATTTATTGTATAAATGAAATCTATGCGTACTAATGCACTAAATTTAGACGAATTATACATATATATATATATAAATTGTTTGTTTCTAATTGTACAGGGAAAAGGGTTTAACTCTATTTGATCTGGAAGACATACAAGAACCAAAATTTATTAAACACGATTATTCAAATCAAGAAAATTCATTGGAGGGTTTGAATATAGATCAGTTTAACTCAAGATGTGATATTCCATCAAATGAAGAATTTCCAGGCCATCTCAAGTTTCAATTGCTTTTACCAAATCAAAATACATCAAAAAATTTGATGGTGAGTGTATTAATTTCATTATTTATTTATTGCATATAATATGAAATATATGCCAAAAATTGTTTATAATATAAGTGTTACATTAACATTATTTTAAGGTGCTTCAAATATTTTGTTTGCATTTATATTATCAACTTTATTATGAATCATTTATCCGTTTTCTTTTTGTCCATGCATTCTTATTTTATCATTGGTTATTTAATACGAGTTTTACTCTACAATAGTACACGAAAGTGTGATTATTTCAAAATCTTCAATTTCATTCTGAGTTGTAATGTTGTGTCTTTTAATATATTTTAGTTTATAATATTAATTAAAATTATATATTACTTAAAAATACAATTCATCATTTTTTATTGACTTGCGATAGAATTTATACTATGGTTTATTACAATTAATAAATTAGAACATTTATGCTCTCTCGTCAAATATATTTATTTGCCATTATAAAATTTGACTTATAGTTTTATCAAGTTTTATTAACTTTTATAAATTTAAAGCTTTATCTTGGAATAAAATTTTTTGTTTTATTTTTTGTCTTTCGAATATTTTTTTTCTTATTAATGTAATATATTCCTCCTTGTAGATTAATTCTGCTTCTTTCCGGTGTTGAATAATGATTTTTTTGCAAGTTTTTATTGCAGTTACAATAATGCTCAGATGGAATACTCTGATAATGTCTTCAATATACAATTACAAAACTTACAAAGCACTGAGAAGAAGAACAAAGTAAGATATTTTGTTTGAACACTATAGATTTATAGAGTAATGTGTATCCATTTGAAGATTTTGTGGGCATAGAATTGTTTATGTAAGAGTTGTGTGTCGTAAAAAATATTGTATAAATGCAAATTTATTTTATAAAAGCAATATAATTTCTATAAAATGAAAGTAGTTAGCACATTTTTATAGGATTATCACGTCAAATGTTTTAAAACCTGTACTTATAGATTGTTTTCTATCTTTTTTTTGTACAGTACTCTCAAAGTCTTAAAAAAGTATATATCAATATGGAACAAACCTTACCTATACGATTCAAATGGGACCCACCTGTGGATGGCTTATATCTGCGTACTTCTATGGTATTTAGTTTGGATCAATACAGAAATGATCCTGTACATAGATGCCACAATCATATGGCCTTATCAAATCCCAGCAATCAAGATATAAATCCTAGAATAATTAAGCATGTGGTTCGTTGTTCAGAGCCATCAAGCATATATGAAAATAATAACGATCATTTGTCTGTGATTACACCATTGCGTACACCACAAGTTGGTTCACAATATGTTCAATTGTATTTTCAATTCTTTTGTAAGAATAGTTGTACATCTGGGATGAATCGTAGACCAACAGAACTAGTTTTCACATTAGAAGATAGTCAGTATAGTGTCCTTGGACGTCGTAAATTACTAGTTAGAGTTTGTAGTTGTCCTAAGAGAGACAAAGAAAAAGAGGAAAATGGAACCACAAATGATGTATCTGGTTCCAATAAAAGAAAACGTACAGTTACTCCAAGTAAAAAGGTTATTTTACCATCATGTGATACACATGTTTATAATATTCAACTAAACGTTGTTGGCAAAGAAAATTATTTAGCGGTCATGAAATATGCTCATGATGTTATGGCTGGTCAAGCTTCGCGAACGGGACAAGTAGAATTTTTTAAACCTTATATGGATAGCATATTACATAAAATGCCATAACTTTTTAATTAAAAATTTTAAATGAAACATTAAAAGAAAAAGTGTTACTATAAATTTAATCATTGTTGTAATCGTAAGATATACAAAATTTTAAATAATAAATATACATAACGATGTCTAAATAATAACATTTGATATTTTAAGAAGACAAAAATGATAATAACTTTATTCATACAATTCATATCTTTTATTTTTTATTTCAAATATTTGTTAAAATGATGACAACATTCATACAATATTTTAATGCATTTTTTCTTTATGCTTAATCGTACTTTTATACACACATACGTATGCATGTACTCACTACATAATAATCGATAATAAATATTATTACCTTTTTTAAATTTATGTTTTACATATTCCTAATTCGTTTTCATTTTCAATAATTTTAACATCGATTGTATTTATTGCAAGGATTTCTGGTAAAAATACGATATGTTTTGGTAAACGTACCATAGGGTGTTTAATTTTTACCATTTTTCTAGTACACACAACTTCTGTATTAGAACATCCCGTTGCACTTACAGTCCATTTCAAATTCATATTAGTTTCTAATACATCTATCATCCATATAAAGCCTTTTTCTATCTATACAAGGAAGGAGGGGAAAGAATATATATATACAATGTATCAAATATATTCGATTATTACAAATAAATAATAATATACCTGAAGAAAAAACATATTGTTCATATAATGCATCAGAAAGACATCATTGGGTCCATAGGGTGATGGAATATGTAGTTTAATTCTTCCACCACGAATATGAATTATTTTACTATTATGACACATGATTAGATGATCCACTAACTTAGTTATTTTTAAAACAATTTCACAATTTTTCTGTATATAAAATGGACAAGATAGCCGTCTGTCAATTATTGAAGAATTTAATCCATCAAAAATTAAATTCCAATTTAAGTTTAAGCTCCTGGTTTGAACGGTAATATTCGTTTGTAATTCATGGTTGTTATCCATTTCACGGTTTACATTTCTTAACGAAAGTTGACTGGTGCTTGCTGATTTTTGTCGATCGTTTAAGGTCAATCTATTTGAATTACTATTATTGCTGACATTATAAGGTTCTAATCTTGATAATTCATTGTTTCTCTGTGATACTGTTGCAAGATTTTCTGTAGAAACAGCTTTTTCTACATTACCATGAAACAATTTAGTTAATAATGATCGTTTTAATTTTAAAGGGACATTGGTATTCTTCTGATTTGTTTTTGTTATATTCAATTTACTAAGATTTCCAAACAAATATTCTGTAAGATTTTTATTGGACGATTTAGTATATTTTTCAATTTCGTGATTCGTATCAAAAATATCAAAAATAATTTTCCAAATCTTTTCGGCAAGGAGACAACGACCCTGGCCAAGTCGCACTCTACAAATAGGACATTTTGACGTTTTTTGTTTACATTTAAAACAAAGTATATGACCATTAATACATTGTGAAACTGGTGATGTTGCACGTTCCAAACAAACTGGACATTCTAAGCAGCGTAACTAAAATTTTTTACAAATAAAAAAAAATAGATAAATGTAAACTTATTATAATTATTTATTCTCTTAAAAATAATTCTTTTGCATAATTTTACAATTTTAAGAACAGCGCGTGATAAAAAAAAATGATAAAACTTACACATTCTGAAAACACGTTAGCAAATTTAGAAACTATTTCTGGAAGTGGTCTTCTCCAAGCTGTACCAATATTTTCATTTTCTGAAAAGTTAGACACATATCTCCAAATACGAAGATTTATATTATTTCTATCTTTTCTTTCATTTATGAAAACGGCAATATCTTTTATTTTTAAACCCAACACATCGGTACCATCAATGTTAAGTAAGCAATCACCTGGTCTACGAAAGAATACATATATTATTTTGTTAAAAATTAATAAAGAATAAATGTGTTATACTTTCTATCGATTATTTGATTCTATAACTATATGATCATATATAACAGACAATAATCTATACTATCAGGTTCTATAATTTATTACGAGTGATTAAGTCATAGTTCCTTTATAGAAATCATATGACTTACACATCTAATTATATTTTATTAGAAAAATAATTTTTTTTAAAGTATTATTTTTTTAATTTATTAAAAATAAAAATAGTGATATATATATATATGTTTGTGTATTTTAAAAATATACCTTAATCCTGCTCGATTAGCGATACTTTCATGTTCGACGAATGCTACCCAGGGATAAGCATCCCACATAGTTTTAGTCAAATGAAATCCACATGAAGATTTATTATTTTTCGAGGATGGGTCATTTGTATTGTCAAATTGTAAAACGATAATCTTAACCGAAGATTCAAGCGTTTTGTCTGTAATTTTCACACCAGCTGCTTCAAAGAACATATCTTTGTCGACCGAGTCAGACATTATTTTCAATTATTTTTATAGTCTTCATTCAAAAATTTCAAAAATATTTCTTTATTATGGCAGCGTATTTCCTTTTTTATTGATAAAGAGAATTAATTATAGTAATGCCTTTCTTTTTCTTTACTTTTCAATTTATTTTCACAGGAAAAAAATTTGAATTCTTCTTCAAAATATTACCAGCACGTTTCTCTTATTCTATATTGAAAATCACTATGTTAAAGTTACGAGCGAAATGAGAGTTTAACTGACTAGTTTACCTTCACCTAATTGTTCGTCCTTGACATTGATGTTTACATTCTACAATTGTACGATGATCGATATAGATTATTTTTACTCTACTCAAATACTTATGCGATCATCAGATGTATTAATTAGGTTTTAGATGTATTAATTTAGGTTTTTTTCTTTTTTTGTTTATAACGATATGTTCCTTTCTTAATATCATGAGCGTTCAGATTATATTTATTCTACATTATTTCAAATTTGGTAATATTTTCATAAATGTGCCTATTTAACCAGCTGCTTGCTTATAGACAAGAAAGGCAACATTTCTTTACTTTCTTTATTACTTATTTCTTTATAATGCATTATAATGCATATATATATTTGCTGTGCTACTAAACCAAGTATCTGAATTTATTTTTTTAAATATTATTTCAATACTTGAATAAAGCATGAAGAATACGTATAATTTTAATTATTAAAGCTCATAAAAATGAATGAGATAAATATAGAAATGTGTATTGTAAACGATGTAAATGGTGCTTAATGTAAAAAGGATTAATAAGAGATCTCATCAACTTTTTATTAGAACTTGTCTTGGAAGAACTTTTTCTTTTGATTTATACACTATCAATAAGTAAACAGACTTATTTAAAATGAAAGAGTATAAAATGGAAATAAAATGAAATGTATTAGATATGCTTGAATATATTCCTACACGAGGAAGAGAATCATTGAATGAATATTTGCGTATCAAGTGTTTTTTTTTTTTAAAACATCTCTCTCGAAGAGTATTATTTCATTGGTATAATATATTAAGGCATTGATTTAATGTATGTAACGTTGTATGAGCCATAGCTTTAAGGACTAATAAATCTGAGTCTAAATTCATACTAGAATTTTCAATGGATTGTGCCAACGCAGCATTATGCTTTTCAACTTTTCTTAATTGTTCCTGGCAATTAGCGAATGCATCAAGGACTTCTAATTTGGCAACAGGATTTCTGCTGGCATTAGTGGAATGTTCTCTTGGCGGTAAAGGAGGATGACTACTAGCTATCGCTCTTGTATACATTTCTGTAACCGCTCTCAGTTTGTCTACCCATTCCTGTCGTGCTCTAGCATCAGTAGCTCTTAATTTTATCATATCTCCTTCATTAGTCATAGAAAAATCAAATTGATTAATAATATAATTATATTATATGTTAATTCTCTTTAAGGAAAACATTTTCAATAAAAAAGTTTACCTGTGGCAGAATTAACAGTGAAAGTATTGGAGTCTTCATCACTAGGTGCTATAACTGCACCAGCTAAATATATGGAACAACGTGGTCGTTGATTTTTCTCGGATTCACTAAGAAAATAATGTAATTCACCAGTTTCAGGACTAAGAATAAACCAGCGATACTGCCATCCTTTCATCGCATTTGTATATTTGTGTAATAAACCCTCGTAAGGAAACCTTATTTGAACATTCATTATTTCTCTCCTTTATCGGAAGCCTTTTTTTCTTATTTTAATGAAATAATACACAATTAAGATCGATTGTCATCTAATATAACACATTAAAAAAGGTTAGGATTGTTAAGTTGTAATTATATTTTGTGCGTGATAAGAACAAGATAATCAACTAGAGACCTCTAGTGTTTCATTCCCATTTTATTTTTATTAAACTATATTGACTTATTTGATAAGCAATAAATTTGCACAAATGCAGTTTGAAATATGTGACAGCAAATAAATTTGATTTCTTATAAAAATATATATACTTGTTAGATTTTTTTTTTTTGAAAATTAATCATTCATTTCAAAAATATATATATATTTTTTTTAAATGAAAGAACTAAGAATGATTAAAATAAAAAAAACAAAAATTTGAAGTTAGATCATTTTTTAAAATAAAGTTTAAAGAAATGGTCACTTTTCATCATTAAGAGCGATTTAGTTTCTTAAATACATTGATGAATAAAATGGAGATAATCCTTTCATTCTCTTATATTTTTTATGTTATACTATCCTTCACATACAATAACAAATTTATTATTTATTAAAAAAAATAGAACTGCGCTCTTCATTATTTTATCTAAATTAAAAAATCAAAATTTTTGTCATATATATTAAAATATATTACTTATATTACTAATAAAGTAATCATATATCTATTATTTTCGATAACTTTGATCCATCTTTCAGATAACTGCTGAATTTCTTGACAAAAAAAAAAAAATAAGGATTTTGATGCATTGAATTAAATATTAAGGCACTGAATTTTCTCTATTGTACTTAATAATAACATAAACGTAATGATATATTTTTAAGAAGATGGTATTAAGTTTTCTTCAATTAATTTACGACGAACATCTGGAAGTTCAATCTTATAATTTCCATCTTTATCCAAATCAATGATTTTAGCTTGGTAAATTTCATCAGCTTTAACCAATTCTGAGATTCTTTTTAATGCTTTAGGAGAATAAGATCCATTTTTTCCTTCTGGAAGTAAATCTGATAAAAGAAATAATACAAACGTGAAGATTTATTTTGCCGATTAAAAGTAGATTCTTATCATATACACTTATGTATATTTATAAATGTAATACTTACTAACAAGAGTACACATATTTGCAAGACAAGAAGGCTTTAAAAAGTCACTTGTCATTGGTCTAATATTTTGGTGAAAAACTTCTTCATAGTTTCCATAATCAATATAAAATAAAAAAACTGTATCTTTTGATTCGCTTATAGTTAAACATATTGCACGATACCAATTATTTTTGTATAAGCCTATACATAATTCATTTTCTCGGGGAATATAATACTCTGTATGTTCGCAGTATTCTTTCATCTAAGAGATAATGTACATTATATATTATATATATATATTTTCGTGAAAATATAAGATTATAGAAATAAATGTTTGAAGATGTACCAATTTTGGCAAAATGTTATGAACATGTGTAATCAGTTCTAAATCTAGAAGACACATGAAATATTCAAAATCCTTTTCGATTACACTTAAAATCACAACTTTGACGGTATCACCAATATTTCCCAAAGGAAACACGTCTATATTATTAATCGTGTAAACCGTTTTATCTATAATGTCAATTATTTTTATATGAAAATATAATTTCATTATAAATCACACATTTGATAATAAACAAGAGACACACATTACCTTCTTCTATTTTCCAATTTGGTATAAGCAATTGTTTAATTTTGTCATTAATACTTTCTCCATTTGACATAATTAAATGTACACCATCTTTACAAGGTATACCATTAAATTCACATTTTAAAGGTACTTCTTTACCTACTAAATCATTAAGATAATTTGACACTTCTTCGGTCATAATAACATTGGTTGGTATATCTTTTAAAAGAATTTTTGTGACACATGATTGATGCTGCGCGCATGGTGAGATAAAGGTATTTATTAATTATTATAATAATAAAAAATGATATATATACAAATGAAAATTCTTTTATTACCGATTTTAAGTCGTCAGGTAATACTTGTAATTTTCTCCATGACGTTTTTTCAGAATTTCCAAAATCTATATAAGTAACGATTGCTTCTTCCCCCTGTATTTTTGTAACAATTGCACGATAAAAATTATTGTCAATGTACTGTGATATTATTATTTCTCCCACAACTGGAGGTTCTTTGAGATATGCAGCTGAAAGAAACAAATGTTAAAAATAACCAAAATATTAATCGCAAAATATAAAAAATAAATGTTTTTTTAAGTTTCGATAATTTAAGAATATACCAAATAGAGCATATTTTGCAATTTTTTGCATGAGTTTATTAAATTCTTCTGAGTCTTCTGTATCCAGAGAGCGAACAAACATGATAGATTGATTTAAATAAGAACTGATGCAAACCTATAAAACAATAATTGTTCTAATATAGTGTTTATAAAACAATGATATTCTGTTCTTTTAATAAAACTCAAACCTTGGACTTGCTTTTCAATTTAAAGCATTGAATATTACTTGGTTTAAGTCTTGGCTCCCATGGTTTTAAAATACCTTCTACTTTATTTCTATTGTTTAATTTAATTTCAATACTGATTTCATTCTCATTATTTATTACTTTATATTCGTAATAATTACTTATCTGTAATTCATGAAACGAATGTAAGTATTAATCAGTAAAATATATAAGTATAATAAATAATAAGATTTATACACTTACTACTAATTCGATATCGTTTGTACTTATTTTGCAGATCACACCAAATGTGCATTTATTAGGAAATTCATCAGGATAAGGTACAATTTTCTGAACTGGTATTATTTCCGCTTTATCTATTACAGCAAACTGTATTTTTGGATTTAGAGTTATCACATAACCTCTATGCCAATCATTGACCTCTCCTCCTAGGCCACATGCTAAATCTCCAATATTTGGCCTGAAAAGTTAGAGAATAAATAAGCGTGTTGATTAAGTGTGTACATTAAAGTAAGAAAAATATGTATTAACAACATTTCTATTTATAAAACTTACTTATATTCGTAATTTAATTTCATAGAGTTACATTTTTCAGGTAATTTTGTCATAATTTGTTGATATTCTGCGATCAAATTGTTCGGTAAAAGGGTAATTCCATAAATGTTGTTATCAAGTACCGTATTAACTTTTAAAAATCCATATACATCTTTTGATAATAAGTTTATCACATTTGATAAGTGACGTGGTATTGCTTTATTCTCGTTTTTATTTTCATATATGTTCTTGCCATTTGGAGAATAATTATTTTTCTTATCCTCACTTTTATTTGTTTTTTCATTAGTATTCAAAGAAAAATTGGAGGTAGTTTTGCAAATATTTTCATTATTATAAGTAGAGTTTGTAGAACTTTTAACTGTTAATTGCGTTTTGAGCTTTGAAGATTTGTTTGGGCTTGTGTTATTAATTTCACTTATAACGTCTACAAAAGTCACATTCTCATTCTGATTAATAGCTTTTACAGCTATAATTTGATGTTTTTTTAAATTTTCATACTTCATTGATGCATTTTTATGTAAACATATTTTTCCTGCAAATGGCAACATAGTCTTAAAATCGCTTATCTCACGAAATTCATTTACTTTAACTGTCTCAGTAATACCAAGATCAATAAAAAATATGTTTGTTGGATTCAAAGACATTATCTTTGCCCTGTGCCATATATTATTAAATTTGTAACCATATATATTACCAATAATTGGGTTAATTTTAGGCATTTTCTGAATTATAATTTGCAATTCCATTATCATATTATGATATATTTTATCTTGATCTAGTTTACGTACCCAAAAATCTTTTCCTTGTGTAAACTCTAAAATTATAACTTCCGTAATTTTTGCGGTTGATAAAAATGTGTTTTTATAAAATATTTTTTGTTCTCGAGTTTTTATTTTAAAATTATTTTGGACTTCTTTTTCAGTTACATCCAATTTGTATTCTTTATCTTTTATTTTATCATTCTTGTGCATGACATTAATTTGAGAATTATTTTCGTTTAGTTTCATTAAACTTTCCGGTTTTTTATCTTTCATACACTGGTTATTTATGCTCTCTAGATTTGAATTAATTAAAGATTGTACTTTTGGGCGACGTAATTGTTTCTGAGTTGGATTTAAGTTTGTTACTTCAATTTGATTTTCACTACTTGATGTCGATAAAGATTTAATATCTTCTGCCAGTATGCTGTAAAAATAAAGAAGAAACTTTAATAAGATTGATAAGATTCAGATAACAAATTTTTTATTTTTATTTTTATATTTATTTTTGTAATATACTGACGAAATTTGTTGACATTTAATTTTATGATTTGGCCAATCTACTATTTGACATTGTTTGCTACAGTAAAAAGAATAACATTTTCCGCATTTCACAGCTGTTACTTTGTCACAGCGTACGCATATTTCTAATTTTTCTTTTAAACTATCTTGACCATGTTCATAGAAATCCTATAATAAACGAAGAAAGAAATATACTCATTAAATAAAATCCTATACAACAAATATACAATAAAAGCAACGATTATTACATTACTACGTTTCTCAGAAATTTGTGTAGTCAGTGTCTTGGTCGAAGAATGTGGTTCAGATATCTCATACAAGCTATAACCACGTCCAAGAGAAACATGTCGTTTTCCATCACGCGTTACAGTTACTCTGTCCCTATAATAAAATATATTGACTAATTTAAAATATCATTTAGCATTAGCACAACCAAATATAAACAAACCTTGTCCATAATGTATTTTTATAATCTAAAGATTTTGTACTTTCATATGGATCAAATAAATGATGATCCATAGGTACTGGATACAACAAACCATCAGCTGTATGATGCATATCAATAGGTATTTTAGATTGATAACTATATTTATGAAGTATATTACTATAGTTTGGTAATTCCATAGTTTCTATACTATATATAAATTTTATATTTATTAAACTTATAGTATATATAATAAGTACTTAAGTTGTTAAAGCAACTTACTTTGCCGTTTCATGAGGTTGATGATCTAAAACTGAATTTTTACAAGTTGCTTGAGATTTTTGGTTGCACAGTATCTTCTCGCTTTGATCAACAGATTTCATTTTTTTACTAAATGATATTTTTAAACATAATGGTGGTGTATCGTGAAGATTCCTTATAGCATATTCAGCTGCACTAAATTTTGTATATGTAATATAAGCCCATGATGCATATGGAAGACAAAAAATGCTACTAACTTCACCAAAATGATCAAAAATTTGTCGAATGCCATTCTAAAATATAATAATAATAATTATATAATATACATATAAATTAAAAATAAAATACTCTTGATATAAATAAATGAAAATATTAATATTCATAAATAACTAAATAAATAAAAGAATAAAATTTAATAAATAAATTAAAAAATAATTGAAATAAAAAACCTCGTTCAACTCCGGAGGTATATTAGTTACATAAAGTCTGTACTCCTCTGGTTTTCTGTAAAATTAATAATATTATATAAAATAGTACCTTGCATAATAATATTATATTTTAATGTTTCTTACGTGATATTTTCTGTTTTTTCAACATTAGATTGAAAATAAGCCATACTTTTTTACTTTTTAATATAATCTGCGATTATATTAATTACTTTATTGAAAAAAAAACAAACAATATATTTAATTCTTAATTAAATAAAATTTTAGAATTTATTTTACGCAAAACTCGTGCTTAATCAAGTACGACACATGCATAAAGTTCCGCACAAGTATAAATTAGACAAAAGAACTCGTAGAAATATTATGAACTGAATGTGATAAATGTCATATCCCGATAATTTTAAATAAAATAGGGAAATACCATAACTTTCGATTATCGAAATATTACTATCGATATATCGATATTCATACCAACATTCTTCACGCAAAAATAAAGTAAACTGTTTAAGCAAGTCATTTGGTGACTTATAGTAATAGTGGTGATACTTTAATAACTTACTATCTAATTGTGAATATAAAGAAAAAAGTATAATCTTAAGATAATTAATAATTAATGTAAAACATTCATATATAAATATATATGTGTGTGTATTTAAAATTATTAATAATTATCTATCATCTTTATTTCACATTCTCTTCAATTAATTGTGAAAACGAATGAAGTAAATGTATCGCTCAGTGTGAACGGATTTTAATAATATGAATTGCGCGCGCATGTTTAATGGCGACAGAATCGTGCGTCCACTCGTTAAAGTGTAAAAATTGCTCCAATTTTCAAACGTTTACGTTAAGTTTCAGTGATAAGCCAATTTGTTTCTTTCACCATAAGTGCAATCAAACAATTGAATTTGATTCCGTTACCAGGGTTTTATACAACCAGCAAGACGAAGCTCAAAATGCCATTGGTAAGTCTGTCATTTTTTACCATTCACATTTTTCTTTTTCTTACATACTTTTAATTTCTAAAAATTTATATCTGTGAATATACTTTATTTATTTATCTCTTCTTTTTTATTGGAAGTAATACGTTTGAGAGACACGTCAATTATTTCTTCTTTTTAATTAACATAATTTCATTAAGTTTTAATGATTACTATTTTCTTTCTTTAATAAATAATTGGGCGCGGTTTTAATGGTTAGAAAGGGTAACATTTATGAAGTAATTAAGTTGCTTTTATTAATAATTGCATTTATATTTTATCTATATTGTGAGTAAAAAATATACCTGTATGTATAACTATATAACTATATGTACACGTAGAATGTTTTAATTGAATCACTGTGTAAAGATAATTTATAATGTTTCCTATGAAAAGTGATACTATGTATTAAGTATATAAAGTTAAATAATAATTTATAGGGCAACCACGCTGCCCTTACTCCTTTGGAAGATATGTCAGCGGGGAGAGGTCAAACGGGTGGAGGGCCTCTTCAAAACTGTCAAAAAGTTTTTATACAACGAGATTATAGCGAAGGTACAATGGTTAAATTTCAAACACAGTTTCCTACAGAATTGGAAAGCAGAGTACGTAATATTATTATGCATATCAGTATGTAATTATTAATACTATTACTTACTACTACTGTTACTGTTATTATAGTTTAATTTTAACTTTAAACATGTAGAATATTTAATATATTTGGATGCACATAGTTTATTATACGTTTCTAAATATTATTGTTGGTTTTTTAAAGATATTTAAATTTTGACTTATCTTTTTTTTTTTTTTTTATGTTCTTATAAATATGTGCTACATATTTTTTTTTAAATATAGCTGGACAGACAGTCGTTCGAGCATACAATCAATCAGTTGAACAATTACTTTGCGGAAGCAGAACGCGCCAGTTGTTCAACTTTCTGTGAGGGCTGCCTTGCTTGCCTTACTGGTTATCTAATCTTTATATGCACTGAAACACATTACGAGAAGTGCTTGCGAAAGGTCGCAAAATTTGTTTGTGAACAAAATGATAGAGTTTACAAGCCGCGTGGATTATTGTTAACAGATCCAACGACCCGTGGCCTCAGGCTAATAGAAATCTCTGTATTAGACAGACCTGCATCGTGACTGCATGTTAGCCGATCTACGGAATTCTTCATGTGACCCGCGCATTTCTGCCGCATTGCCAGAATTAACGACCTACATGCGCTGATGGAAGTCTTTGGACACAATTATGCTGCGCTCTGATTAATTCAAGTTGGTCGTGCATAATTAATTTTTCATATAAAAGAAAAAAGAAAAAAAAGAAAATACTAGCAAGATTTTAAAATACACCTTGCACAATTATTGTAATGAAAAATTCATGTGCAATAAGGTTTAGCTCTCTTTCGAGTCTAACTGTGTACTTAGGTTTATCGAACATAAGTATATATCAAATGGACGAATTACTGCTTCTAAGTTATGAAGCACAAGAGTCTTTACGTTTACTCGAAAAATCAAAGTATTCGCTAAGTATATTTATACTTGGAAAGAAGTGAAATTTGAAGAAACATTTTCTTAGAGCTTATGATTCAATGTAAAACAAACAAATTTTTTAATATTCGTTGATTTTTTTTTAATTTATTTTTTGTTGTTTTTTTTTTTCTTTTTTATTTTTTTAAATACGTAGTTTCTCCTTTTTATGGCAAGAAATTCATGTGTGAAAATTTATTTTACGTTTTACGATAAATGAATGAAAAAGAACATATGGATATAAATCGCGAAGCAATCTATAAGACTAAACAAGAATCATTTAACTTCTTACAATCATACATTAGAAGACCATATAAAACGGATCATAAATGATTAACATATCCCGTTTTGTGTATCATTTAGCATATAGAGCTGGTTACAGACTGCATTTATTCGATGATATATTCATGAATGCAATCTACACTCTAATCTGTGTTTATAGTAAATTAAATTAACCACAGATTTTAGACGTTTGAATTTCATTTTGAATATTTTTTATCGATTACTGTCAAAGGACTTTGACTTTATACGTTCCAAGCTTTATATGCATTATAAGTGGAGCTCTAAGTTTTTCCTCTACAAGGAGATATATATCTTCCATAAAGTATAAATCTCTTTAATTTATTTTTCTCTCTCCTTTTTTTTGGGATAATGAAACATGCAAGCTGGCTCATTTTTCATTAATTTTTTTTTAAAATACATATGTATGAATAATGAGATTTACTTGCCGTAATAAACTCCTTCTCGTGAAAAGAAATTTGAGAGGACAGGGAAAAAAAGAAAAGAAAAAAGAAATAAGAAATAAATAAAAATAAAAAGAGAAAAAGAAAATAATAATAGTAATAATAATAATAATAATACTAATAATAATAATACTACTACTATTACTACTACTACTAATAATAATAATAATAATAATAGTAATAATAATAAAATAATAAAATTTGGTCGAAATTGCTGGCACATGGTAATTAATTGCGCTAAGAACTCCAAGGATTGGCTAAAAAAATGAGAGAAAGAGAGTGAGAGAAAGAGAGTGAGAGAGAGAGAGAGCGAGAGAGAGAAAGAGAGATAAATAATTGGGTTTTGAGGTGATATAAGTAAGATTTATAATAAGTTGACTTTTGACATGTACGACATTGTGATCAAGGATAAGAAGCATAATGCATGGCATGCACGATGTGGATTGGTGTCTCTACGTTGTCAAAATAAAAAATCTTGCATTTCGATCCATTGCCAGGGAGACTAGGATTTTCTTTTTATTTCATTTTATTAATATTTCTTTTTCCTTTTTTTTTCTTTTTCTTTAGTTTAGCAAGATTGTTAAGTTTAAGGCTCTAATAATCGTCTGTAAATAATAATTTTTTTTTCTTTTTTCGGTGGGGGAGGGGGATTTGATTTGCTTTTTTTTTTTTTTTTTTTTTTTTTATATATATATATATATATATATATATTTTTTTTATACCAATAGATTACGTATATAAGTTACAGTGATCTCAAAACGAAACAACGATACATCATGCGTGGAATCTTTTATACGTCGTACCTTATCATTATTTATATACCGCGGTTATAAGTCGATATCATCGTGTGTTAAAAAAAAAGAAGAAAAAGAAAAAAACGGTTATAAAAATTATAAATAAATAAATATTCGCAGGCAGTATAATATATAATTGAGATGTACGATATATTATACACTTACCTTTCTTCCATTTTAAGAAGCAACAATTAGTTTGTTCATTGGAAAGTACATTAAAATATATATATATATATAAATACTGTAAATCATATTTATTGCAACGAAGCAGAAGATGATAAAGAATTAAAAAAAAATAGAAGAGGAAAGAAACAAAAAAGAAATAAAAAAGAATGGGACCCAGTTTTTCTGCTCTAACGATCATCGATTTTTCTTATCATTCCTATGCACTTAATGATAAAAAAGAATTAAAATATAGAGTTATAACTTTTTGTTTTAGAGAGACAAAGAGAGAGAGAGAGAGAAAAGAAAAGAAATGCGTTATTTTTTTATTATCCAAAAGGCCGTATTTATATTTGTAAATATTTTTAGGCGCAACCAACTATCATCATCATCATCATGAGTAATTAAAATACAAATTTTATTTTAATTTAATAACATTTATACATATATATATATATATAAATATTTTTATCAAAAAATCTTTCTTTTTTGTGTGACTTTGATTCTTATTCTAATATATTAGACTATTTTCTAAATTTATAATGTTGTTTGCGCCTTATGACAAATACGGTCCTGTTGTTATACACCTGTATTTCAAATAATATTATTTGCAATAAGCAGAGCGATATAGAGAAATTGACGACGATAAAAAAAAAAAAAGCAAAAAATAAAAACTTTCTTTAGGCAGGAGATGGGAAATGAGTGGTAGTGAGGATGGAAAGGGATAGAGGGAAGGAGGCTGGCATGATTTATAATAAATTTGATCAATAAAATATTTTCTTTCTCGCGAAGTGTTCATTTAATTATAAATATATATATTTATATGTAATTCGCACGCAGAAAGAAACAGGAGGAGGAGGGGAAGAAGATGGGGGTGAAACGTTTGCATGATTTACAATAAATTTAAAAGATATTTTTACTTTATCATTTTAAAAAATGTTTCATCTTCTTTTGATTTGATGTGAATAATATCAAATTTCCCTCTTCCCCCTACTCACTGATTGTAAATCATGCTTTTTCTTTCTGCCTGTTTCTCTCTCTCTCTCTCTCTCTTTCTCTCTTTCTTTCACTCTAATTTTTTTCTTTTTTTTTTTTCTTTCTATCTCCCTTTCTATTTTTCTTATTCACTCTTAATATCTTTCATTCACAATAATTCTGCTGTGAACGATCTCGTCTTGATCCTTGATCACAATGAAAGGCGAGAGATTATTATAGCGTGATAATGCGACGCTGCAAAAGGAATATATATATATATATATATATATGTATGTATGTATGTATGTATAAATATTTGTTTGTTTGTGTGTATGTATTATTTTTTAATTTTCGAGAAGAGAGGACAAAAAAAAAAGGATGGTGTCACTGCCATGACGCACGTACGGCTTCCTGGTGCACATTTTTAAACTAAAGATTTAGATAATGGAATACGACTTTGATTGGTCGTCGTCAATGTCTTCGTTCCCGTATTTTCGAAAATAAAAGGCTCTACCGCGTGCGCGCATTTATTTTTTCTCTTTTTTCAACGTCGCAATACCACTAATGCTACATATATATATATACGTATATATATATATATATATATGTATGTATGTATGTATGTATGTATGTATGTATGTATGCATTTCTGTTTGTATGTATGTATGTATGTATGTATAAATAAATAAATAAAATCGTTCTTTGCGCCTCTATATGCAACGTCCGATATTGCATAAAAATGAAAATGAAAATGAAAATGAAAATGAGAATGAGGAGCAGAAAGAAGAAGAAGAAGAAAAAAAAAAAGAAATAAATAAAGTTAATAAAGAAAATTGTAAATATTTATATAGCGAATCGGTCGATCGATAAATACGACCATGCGAAGAACATTAAGAAAAAGCAGCCGTTTGTTATACTTAATTTAATATAGTAGGACCAAAATAATTTTTCAAACGATGATTCAATTACTGTACGGGACTAAATTCTTATAGTCCGGATTGTAATTTCTAAATGTTTTTAATAATAAAACACAAAAGAAAATAATAACGCGAAAATTCTCTTACGTATGTAAATCTTTCTTTTCTTATTTTGTTTGTATACATTTTTTAATTTATATAGGATCTTGTTCGATATTGTTTTTTGATAATTTTTTCTTGTTGTCATCATTTCTATTTCTACTTTTTGCTTTATTTATTAGGGCCGCATTTAATAATAAAATACATCAGGCGCAAGTTGGGTTTAATCTTATTCCCTAATGAGCAATAATAAAAGATTGAAAAAACAGCCTAATATATTTGTTAAAAACAAATCCAGAAGATAAACTTAGTTAGTTATTAATTTATTTTTTTTTTAACTTAGACCAATTTATTTTAATTTGTTCCTGTTCTTTTTTTTTTTTAGTTTTTCAAATACTACACACGCAATGTTATATTATTTTTATTTTATTAAATTTATTAAATAAGTTATTATTGAAATGCCGAATTTTATTTTTTCAATAAACTATATAAGGAAGACAAACTGTACAAATTTAATTAGTTTTAATAATCGTTCTTTCGAGGCCTCGTAATAATGGTGCGCCGCCTATGGTCTCCAACAGTATAAATACGGTCCTGTTTTCTATACAAAATCTCCTATTTAAATCGATTAATTAATTTAAATATGTCGAACGAATAAAATCTTCAAATTAAAATGAAACAAATTAAAATTACAATTTTGTAAAAATTTTCACGCGGATCGATTAAAATCAGATACCATGTATATATGTACATAAACATACATGTATACTTGTAACATACATCTTATTTATATATCTTTAAATTCAACTTTTTGACCACATTCAGAAATTTGTGTTTCTTTTTTTTTTTATTTAATCTCGTGCATCAATGCCCGAACAGGTATGATGATGCACATTCTTAATTATATCAAAAAGATTAGAAACCAGTTTTGCGTGAAGGACATAGTTTTGAAATTTTCGTTGCATCGGTAGAACGGTGCATATAATTATTTTCTTTTCTTTTCTTTTTTTTTTTTAATGAGAATAATTAATACACTAGCGCGGACGATTTATTCACACTGATCTCTCTCTCTTTTTTTTTTCTTTTTCAATTTTTTTTACTTCTCCCCTTGTTGTTCGTTTTTAAAAGTTTTCTTTTGTTTTTCATTTTAAATCACGTAAGCGAGAGCATCATTAATTACAACAAAAGATTCGATGTTTCTTTTTTCTTTTTTTTTTTTTCTTTTTCCGATATATCCCACATTTTTTATATGTTTATTTATTTATTTATTTATTTACTTTTATATTCATATAATGTTTATTTCTCTCATTCTTTCGTGTTATTATTTTTCCATATTCTTTTTAATTGTCGGAAATATAGATAAGGAATTAAATTTGAAGGTTGAGAAAAACGAGTTTTAAATTACTCTCGATCTTTCGAGTTTCTAAAATAAAAATTCGGAAATATTCGAAACGATCGATAAACTTCGTAAATTTCTTGTCGTTATTAATTGCAAATAATATCTTCTTTTCTTTTTTATCAATTTGTCCAAAATCATAAGAGACACGCACACAGAACGCACACCAACACATACATATATTTGTTATCGTTTTCTTACTTTTTATTTTGCGAGTCGATATCGATCACTTTTCCCCCATCGTTCGACTAAAGCCTATTTAAGAATATCGAGATATATAATACAAAAAGATTGTCAAAATCGAATGAGAATATGCTTTTACGTTTTTTTCTTTTTTTTCCGTTCACGTTATATCGAAATATACCTCGATATGTCGACCTAACTTAATGATCATTCATTTTCCTAATTATGTGTGCACGTATGTATGTATTTATGTGTGTATGTCTGTATGTACGTAGGTACGTATGTATGTATGTATGTATGTATGTATGTTGTAATACATATATACACCTAGTCATATCTCGACTAAGTATATTTTCTAGTCTCTACGAATATACTGCCTTTTTTTTTCCTTTTTTCTTTTTTAATTTTCTCCACAACGTATCCATTTTGAAAAAAAAGAAATTACGAGTCCAGCAGTCTTTCTCTTATTTAATTAATGATTTTTATAGAAAGTTTCACATATGTATTTTTTAGCATAAAATTAAATTGGGATTCGATGAGTGATTAGGAAGAATTAAAGAGAGGGAAAGGAGATAATTATCTATTCGACTGTGTTCAAATCGAATTAGCGTCCGTTCTCGTTTCTATTCTATTTTGATTCTGACATTTAAACTCACGATTAGTAGAGTAGTTCATCTCGATAAAACGAAATCACATTGTATTCATTGATCGTTAACGATGATCGACAGTTGATCATCGATCGATAATGAAACGTTAAAACAAACGATGCTGTTTTTTTTGAAGTGGTTTTGGTGGGTGGGTGGGTCGTTGGGTTTTTGTAGACATCATCATTCCGGTATACTCTCGAGAGTTGTGGACGTGAGCCGTCAAATGAGAAGACAAAGTTTATTACGACTTTTTCTTTCGGAAATCAATACTTTACTTTTACTGGTGTCCTCAGAATTAGTCTTTACGTAAAGTGATTTACTCAAACGTTGTCTGACACCTTTGCTCAATGTACGACTACCTTTTCTCAACGAGGCGAATCTGGCCAATGCTGATTTTTCTTGAACTTGATCCTTTTTATCGGCGTGCGCACAGTTCAAGGTTGTCAACGTGAACTCGATGTCCTTTGGTTCGAATGAAACAAATTCTTCCACCGGTTCTTCGATCGTATCACGATCTATCCAAGTCAAACCCATTTCAACTTTTTCTGCTAAATCTTGCCAGTGTTTTCTGTTCTCCATGGTACCCTCGTAAAGTGGCATAATCCATGGAAACGTATCGGTCATTACCTTGTACAACGGCATACATATCACGTCGATAAAACCAACTTGCATTTGCGGTAACTCGTCCCTTTTTTCTCGATCCATCATTGCTACAGGTTGCTGATTTAACTGCAACCGTTCTAAATCACCTTGATCGAAGAATTCGTCGGCAACCAATTTTGCTACTCGATGTTGTATTTCCCATGGTTTTGCTATCGCGCTCACGTCACACGCTGTCATCATCATTCCGCATAACACTGGCCAACAATTAAAACAAATTTTATTATGACTTACAAGTGCAAGATTTTTTTTACGAAAAATATTCTGGATGCGTTATTGTAGAAAATAAGTATACACCATTTGGAAGAAACCTTTATAAGTATCTTTGTCAATTAACATTATTGTACTAACCTTTAGTCAACAACGGGGTGCGTAGTTAAGTGAATGTTGTAAATTGTCACAATCACATTTCTAAACTTTCTATCACACCTTAATTTTTCTTTCGCACATCCCCATAAGCTTTATGAATCATATCGATTGTTCTCAAGAGAACAAAAGAAATTTGAAACAAATTTATTACTCGGCACGTTTGATAACGGTTAAGAATTTAGAAATGCGACACTTACTCAACGATTTATCGTTGTCGACTAAATGTCAGCACGACCGTGCCGTTTCGTAAAAATACTCACAAAGGTCCCCTTTAAAATGGTAAATACATATTTTCTGTAACAACATACTTAGATACAAAGATATATACTCTGTTGGATTTATATACTCAATTAAAAAATCAGCTCTGATACAATAATTAAGGGAGGAAACACAAAAAAAAAGTATATTAGTTTTATTATACTAACATTCCTTTTTTTCCTCGCTTTGCCAATCAAATTCACCCTCCTCAACCAATTCCATGAAACGATTCTTTTTCTTAAAATAAACGGCTAAATCCGTTGAAAGTATAGCACTCTCAACCACCTTCATTACTCTTCTATAATCTTCCATGGAAAGATTTTGAAAGATGTTATTACTGTCCGAGTTCAATATCATGACACACTGATCGAAATGATGATGTTCCATAGTACTTGTTGAGTATAATATGGCAAGTGGGGATTCCGTTTTCGTTTGGAATGCATTGTTCGTACCACGATGATCAAGATCATGACAGAGGCAGGCTACCAGTAGCCCAAGAATTTCAAGGTCAGTCATGAACCGTTCCATTTTACCAGTCTTCAACATAGCAAACATGGTTTGTGCTACGTTTAATGCGTGTCGCCAATTGTGATACTTTACTGGTCTACAAAAGATTTATTAAAAAAATTAATTCGATTTATCAGAAAAAAGGATAATTAATTAAAAAATTGTCTATACCTGTAATTTTTTTTCACGCTTAAAGTCCACCTGCAAAGAATGTCGTAAGGTATGTGAAATTTTTGAATAAGATCGCATTGCTTGAACATTCTTAAGGTCGCTCTACAGGTGTCCTCGTCTGTTAAGTCAAAATCTGTAAACGTGAAGCTGTAAAGATTGTACTTTTCAGCAGATGGAATAGCTTCGGTGGTTAGTTTCAAAGCATCGTCGTTGTTGGCTGTTGCGTGATAACTTAGACACTCCAAAGCGACCTTTTGCTTTGCCATAAGTTTGCAAGCTGACTCGTACATTTGCGTGTTGTGTATACCAAGCCCACAAAATATTGCGAATGCTTCGAAAATGGAGACGTCCGAATCGGTGAAGGATGAACCATTATCCTGTTCGTAGGAAAATAATTTCGTTTAATAAATATCTTGATTTTCATTATTATTATTATTATTAATATTATGAATTATTACTTGAAAGAGAATACCTTGTTAATCAATTGGGCAACACCAATAATAATTCTTTGACCATTGGCGATCGGCATACAGAGGATACTCTTAGTTGGTTCCTTCTCAGTTTCCACAACTTCTTTCTTCAACCAACTAGCCACATCTCCTATGTTGAGAATTTGTCCAGTTACTGCAACGTATCTTGCGATTTGACCCAACGGACTGGAAAGATCATTGGAACTTGGTCGATACACCCGTGCCTCTTGGGTTTCGTTATCCATTTCGAACATCATAGTGAACTTATTGCTTTCGCTCGAACTCTACGAGACGAAGATATCTTTATAAATGAAATCATTTGTTCCCATTAATGATCTCTCTTGTTCATATAGAATATATTATCGTGTCAAACTATTTTCTTTTCGTTAAATATTACACGCGTATATATATGTATGTATGTATCATTTGTATTTTACCATTAACAATTAATAGATTTATCTCATAGATATATTTCGGGTTAATTTCGTAATAGTTTCTAAGGCTTACGTGCTGCTGAAAGATATCCTCCATATCGATGTTATTGCTCTGTGCCGTCGTTAAAGGGAAGATAATGATCAGAGACTCGAGAATCATGAATACGTGTACCATTGTACTTGCTTACCTCTCTCCTGGACAATGGTTTTCTGTTTTCTTGAATCGATTTACCGGGTCGCTCGACGATCTTTTCGAGATGACCCTGAAATAAAGAAAATCTTATTTATCTATCCGATTTTTTATTCCCTTATAAGGATCCTATATTTTACGATTTATTTTTATCCTTGTATATATATATATATATATATTTCTTTTTTTATATATATATATTTACCGCCTCGCCGCAATCCAGATCGAGCAAATAAACCGCACATCTTTCGCACTTCAGCAACTCTTTCGCTTCCGTCATAATTTTCGTTACCAAACACTCGAGATTGTTTTGTTCTTCGAATATATTCCTCGCTAGATTAAGTAAAATTTGATTCCTTCTATATTCCTGTACAGATAACTCGAATAGTTGTGCATTTTGAATACCAATTCCACAGAAGGTTAAATATCTAAAGGAGAAAAAATACGAACGATATTTGTTTTTTTTGGGGGGGTTTTTTGTTTTTTTTTTAAACTAATTGGATTGAAAAATTATTCATTTTACTTTTTTTTTTTTTTGATTTACCTTTTAAACACTTCAACGTCCTTTTCGGTAAACTCGTTGCTTCCATTGGTCTTGTTGATGATCTGTGCGACACCAATAACGTCACCTTCGTAATTGCAAATTGGCATCGATAGGATAAGTGTTGTCTTGTAACCCGTACGCATGTCGATAGCACTATTGAATCGTGGATCCTATAAATTTATAACAATTTGATTTTAATCAAAAATTATCTCTACAAAAATTAGACGACACAATTGGGATAATAAATTAAATTTCTTTTCTTCATTTGATAAATATTCTCAATATTATAGATACACTTTAATATTAAAAATCATACATTTTCTATAATTGTTATCATCAACATTATAGATTTTCTTCCTAAATCAATATATTATCATGCGTTATTTACAATAAAATAATAATAATATACCTGTTTAATAAAATTTACAAAAAGAAAAAAAAGAAAAACAATAAATACTAATCCCTTTTTTTGGTTTCTCACATCGAACCTTGTATGCATCCTTTATGTTGATTATCTCCTTGGTTTGAGCTACGTAACCGGCAATACCCACGCCAAAAGGTATCCTTATTTCTTCATTTTTTGCACGTTGTACAGCTTCCTCGAGTTCCGTATCTTGTGTTACGTCGAAAAGTTTAGCTACCAAATATCTGTCCTCGAGTGGTCCTTTAGCAAGAAATAGACTTCCTCGATCGGCATAAGTAAGTAATCCAACATTGACCAAAATTTTATGACAAAGTACATTGATGTCCAGTTCGTTCGCTACGTCCCTTATGAGTTCCATAAATAGGTCGCTTTCATCCAGTCTATTGAGTTCCTCTCGGCGACCCATTAACGATATAGAAGCCCTAAAATCCCCATACCGTGTGTTCGAGATATTATTACGAGGTAACAAAGATATGAATCTACGGATGAGTTATCGCACGGTTATAAAATCAACTTTGAAATTATTACGCGCTTCTATGAACGTAACCTGATCCCCATGAACTTTTAATTTAAACGTTTCTACGTCGGATATTATGATGAACGATATTCCGGTTGGAATAATTTATCGTTAAAAATTCAAGGTACTATCTCTCTCTCTCTCTCTCTTTCTCTTTCTCTTTCGTTGATCTCGATTTGAAATATTTATAAAACAAAAATTCTGATGATTATCAATATTTAACAAGAAATTTTTCCGTTGCTCTATATGTATTATTTAATTTTTGTTTTTTATTATTATTGTTTTTGTCGAACTCTTACCTGCTAGGACTTCTGCTACGTTTAGCCGGTGAACTCGTTGATAACCACGTTTGAAAGAGATCGGACGTGACGCTGTTACGTTTGGTTCGACTCAAAAGACCTTCCTGGTCTTTACTAGAAATAGAAGTTGTACGTTCCAATATTGGCATTTGCAATCGTTGTCGTAATTCCACACTCGCTTTTTCGTATAACCAAGCTTCTACTAGGTCTGGATGAGCCTCCAGGTATCTGTACGCATTCAATGCACGTATTTAATTTGAATTATATATTGTTTCATATTTCAAAATATATATTAATAGTTATTCGTGTGTGTGTCTTAATTATAAACCGGAATATATTTTTTGATAGATTATCTTTTCTACAATCTATATTAACAAATATTATATTAGTGGAAAATATAATAATGATATTTTTATAATTAATTGATCCTGGGATCATTTTGTTGTTGTTGTTAAATTTACATAATAATTTAACTTTGTATTTATTATATAAAAAATTACAATTGTAATAAGTTGTTCGCAACAATTATAAATTTGTCTACAAAATTGTCACTCTTTTTCTGATAATCCAAAAATAAAAATAAAAAAACTACTACTTTATAGAAAAAATCTTAATTGTTACCTTCCAACTCTGTTCATAGTCAGGCCATCGTCCTCGTCGTATTCGTGTATGGTGTCCTGACAAGAGATCCTTTTGCTCCTACAAAGCCTGGCGATCTCATTTTCCTTTATTTCAGTCTTCATACTTGTACTTAAAGATAATTTTGATTCTTCTCTATCAATTTTCGTTTCCACATGAATATTAATTTCACAATGATCGTTATTATCATTTCCTTTTTCCGATGTTCTCGATGAGATCTTCATCGATTCAAAATTTCCAAGATTGTTATTATGATTTACCTGTTAATCGGGCATCGTACGATAATCCAATCATCAGGAAATTCCTGTTAACGCATATAAACACACATAGTTACCTCCATTTCCGTAGCTCCCGATAATTCCTCATCCATTTCGTCTTCAGTCTCCATCTCACCTGTACCTCGTTAATCTGACTTTCATTAGAGTAATTTCCTTAATCTCTAACGTAATTTGAACTATTATAAATTATATTAACGAATAGTACAACGTTTTCAAAAGTAAATGTAGATCCTTTTTTTTGTCTAAGTAGATTCTCTTCGTTATTGTATTTATATATTTATTTCTTGATTTTCTTGCCTAAAATCAATTAGATATTCTAAGTTTAATTTGTAAATTAATATTTTTCTATATATATATTTTGTTTTTAATTTTGTATAACAAAAAAGAAAAGAGATACAATACAATTGGATTTTATGTAGGAGATGAAAGCAAAGAATAGTAAATGGGGAAATCTATATCTGAGGGATAAGGTGACTAGATCCTCTCGGCTTTCACGAAAGACATTTAAATTTCTCAACCCTCCCCTTAAGGGTGGCAAGGGTGGTAAGTTCGATGCTGTCTCATACGAGTTTCATACGAATTTCATACGAATATATAAGCCTATATAAGCCTGCCTTTTCTTTTTATTCAAAGGGCAATGACTCTAGTTACGGAAATTCTTAGTTAATTGTCAATTGATTAAAAATTATGAGAAACATATAATATATTTATTTTTTCCTATTGTTTCTATAACAACTACGCGTTGACGGCTTATTATATTCTTTAAATTATACTTCCTTAAAATCCTATTAATTTTGTTCTTTTTTTTCTTATCAACATAATGAAAATATATTATATTAAGTAACCAAGAAATTTCGTACCGTTCCTAAATTTGAATATAATTTATCTCTATTGATTATAAAGGTATGTGAATTTTCTTGCGATTACCTGTTATTAATATAGAATATATTATATATTATA